TTTGCCCAAGGATCCAGACCTCATTGACAGTAGAGGATATCGAAGTGCTGAAGAACAGGCCAGGGAAATTAATCAGAGTAATTAGGGAACTGTGCTAGAATGCTGTCACAAATACATGTAACTTTATATAGAAGTTAAATATTTAAATGTTATGTTAGGCACTTTGCCCAATGATCCAGACAAATACATGTAACTTTATATAGAAGTTAAATATTTAAATGTTATGTTAGGCACTTTGCCCAAGGATCCAGACCTCATTGACAGTAGAGGATATCGAAGTGCTGAAGAACAGGCCAGGGAAATTAATCAGAGTAATTAGGGAACTGTGCTAGAATGCTGTCACAAATACATGTAACTTTATATAGAAGTTAAATATTTAAATGTTATGTTAGGCACTTTGCCCAAGGATCTAGACCTCATTGAAAGTAGAGGATATCGAAGTGCTGAAGAACAGGCCAGGGAAATTAATCAGAGTATTCGAAGAGAAGTGAGAAAACTGGCTGAAAAATGGAGTTCTCTTGTAACTCGTTCAGAACAAAGACAAAAACGAATTGAAGAAGTTTTTTCAGTGAGTATTCTAGTTTGTGAGTGTATAACTTGATGATACATTATATTTCTTATAAAGGATTTCATTCCCATTGCTTGAAAAACTTTTTGTTTTGATTTATTTCATGGTTACTGAAAGCTGTGGCTAACTCATGATCACTTTGAAGTTTCTATATTCAATCATTTCATGGATATTTACAAAAGGTAACTAAACTTTCAGAAAATGCAGTCTCTTCAGAAGGGAATGAATGAGCTGAATAGCCAGCTTCAAACAGCAGAAGCAGAGACATCAGAGTGGACACCGGTGACAGATCTTGCTGGGGACCAAATAACTGAACAGTTGGATGAATTGAAGGTTTGAAACTTCCAAAGGATATGTAGAACATAACAAGTTTATAATTAATAATACTTCTTAGTTTGACCATCAATTAATATAGATTAGTAGTCTAGCTTTATTTTAATCTAAGGATAAAAATGTAACATCAGGGCTAAACTTACACAAGGTTTTAAATTTAAGCTATCTAAATTAAAACATTAATCCTTCATATATTTTGCAACTTACAGGAGTTCAAGAAGAATATGGAATCTATTCACAGTGTGGCTAGTGTAATGAATAAATCTGCAGCTCGTTTCACAGACAGTAACCTTCCACTCTCCAGTGCCAACCATAGTCGACTCGAGGATCTCAACACAAAACTTCGACAGTTGCAGGCAGCCATTGATGATCGACAGAAGCAGCTTGAAGAAGCTCAAGTAGATCGAGGTTCAGCTCAACAGAAATACCTTAATGGTAATAATCACCCTTACACTAGTTTATAAAATAATCTGTACATTCTTCTTTTATTTTTAATTAAAGAGAAAAATAAATCAGTAATTTTATAAATTAGAAATCAATAACACATTTAATGAGCATGGTTTAATTTAATTTTGTTATTTTTTACAGATGGCACTGCAAGCATTAGTTTAAACTATACAGATCTGAATGTACATGTGCAACATACTTTATTTAGTTGTTGTTTTTTTTTCCACTTTTAAATCTATACCTTTCATTATTCTTTTTAATAATTGTGTTGGCTCATTATTTCTTTAATGATTCAAGAAAATGGAGATTAATTAGAAATCCATTTCAAGATCTATAAACAACATTTATGTAATTATTTTTTATTTTAAAACCATAATCTAAAAAAAGAATTATTTCCACAGTTCCCTTGGTCAACATTTTGTAAATTTTAAACATAATTTTAAATTTTTCTCAATGAAATTTATTCATCGGTGCATGGAATAAAGTAGTGTCTATCTACAAAAACATGTGTATATATATATTTGTGCTGATATTTATTAGTATTTTAATAACCTGAAAGGAATATATATATATATTAGAAATAATTCTGTTCATTTCTTGAATGCTGTGATATGAGTAAGGAAAATAAAAATAGATTTGTGACTGTGTGATTTTTATGAAAAACTTTTATTTCAGCATCTGTGGATGCTCCCTGGGAACGTGGTGTTGCAGTAAATAAAGTGCCTTATTATATCAAGTAAGTTGCATGATATTATTAAAACCTTTATACTGCCAGCCATGTGAATATAACATGACAGCTACACGCTGTCAGTGGTATTTATGTAGATAAGACAAACACTCTTCACAAAAGATATATAACTCGTAATATTACACTATGTTGTAAATAAGTAATGACCAAACAGTTTGTCGTCTCAATTATTATGATAGCTAACCATATAATTGGGATGTCATCTAAACATTGCAGTAACATTGTAGTTTAACAAAATTACAGCTAAACAATCATGTAAGCTAAATGTTGTCAGTCGTATAATTAATATAATACTCGTTAATATTGTCTTTTCTTGCAAATTTTACAGTAGCTGCTAAGCACCATTTTCTTTCACTTTTTTTTTTCAGTGACATGGCAGCTAAACAGTGCATGATATAGTGAATTTTTCCAGTGACATGGCAGCTAAACAGTGCATAATATAGTGAATTAGAGAGTAACTGTTTAGTCAGTTAAGATGAAAGATCAACTGTCAGTCAGATAAGAGCATGACAACAAATAGAATATCATCATCAACTCATTTTATTAGGATAATAAACAGAATATCAGTCACACAAGTAACATAAAAAGAACCAAAAATTTTCATAATTAAGTATTAAAATGTCAAATATGATAGTACGTTTTAAAACTTGGATGAGCACAGAACAATAAAATATTAGTATTATAGTGACAAGCAAAATGTCTCACAAATGACACAATGTGGGCAAGGTCTCTTAATAAAAAAAAAAAACATATAAGTGATGTAACTAGACCAAAAACATTGGAATAAAATATTTCCGAATGATCTTTATATGTTATTAGTTGGTATTGTGATTGTATGAATTTGAAATTATTAGTATGTTTTTTTTGTTTTGTTTTTTATGCCTGTTAAACCTAAATGCATTTTTTTATACAGTCATACCACTGAAACGACAACTTGGGAACACCCAAAACTGACAGATCTTCTTGATTCACTATGTAAGTTTCTGTTTAAGAATCATTATTTGTCTTCAAGTTAAAAATTATTGTTTTTAACTGGGCGAGAAGTGACCTATTGGCTGTGGTACTTGTAATCTCTGAGTCGTGGGTTTAAACTCCACCATGAAACATGTGCTCCCCCTTTTAGCCATGAAGATGTTATAATATGACAGTCAGTCGTACTATTTGATTAGGGTAGCCCATGAGTTGGCAGTGGGTGGTGTTAATTAACTAGCTGCCTTTCTTCTAGTCTACCACTTCTAAATTAGGGAAGGTTAATGCATATATATAGCCATCAAGTAGCTTTAAGCAAAATTCAGCAAATAAATAAATTTATAGCTGAGTTTGTTCAGCTTTGTGTTGGTACCATTTAATGTCTTATAATTAAAAACAAAAACCAAATTATAATAGCAGCTCAAGCTGAGGTTTGCTAATTTTACTACAGCTTTTACAATATTATTTTTAAATTAATTAGTTTTCTTCTGTGATATTAGTGTTATTTGGTCATATGTAATAAACTATGTTTACCTAAATACTGGAAGGAATTCAGATGATTTTGTCAAATTTGCAACCAAGAAGGATTATCTAAATTAAAATCACACCAAATGAAGTTTGTTTCATACATTAATTTTATAGAGTTTTTTTTTGTTCTTTTTCTAAAAATTCTAATTTATGACTGACTTGTATATTTGGGAATTAATAAGTGATCACTATCTCTGTGAGTCAAACCAATAAACAACTCCTTAAAGAAGAGCTTTAGAAAAGCAAGTGTTGCACAGTTTATGTGTTATATTTCCAGGGTATCTTACTTGTGCTTATTTACAGCAAGTTAACACACACATATTCTATTTAACTGTGATTTTATCTCTTTTTTTTTTTTTTAGCTGAATTCAATGATGTGAAGTTTTCAGCTTATAGAACGGCCATGAAGTTACGTGCAGTTCAAAGAAGGCTATGTCGTAAGTGGACGTAGTTTTTTTTTTTGCCTTCATTATCACTTTTTGATGAACTTGACAACAGTTTCTTTAGAAAAACCTTTTAAGCGAACTGAGAAATTATCCTGTTTGTTGAAGGATTTTAACTGTAGAGATATTTCTTAAACTTTTCATCAATTTAAAACAAAAACGTATACTACAAAACTTGTTAATTTCTCACCAGCTGACAGTTTAAATGGGAACTGCTTGAAACAAAGAACCACAATGTTTTTCACAAGCCCATTACCTGATGCTGTCACTATGGAGAATTTGAGTAGAACAGCCATTATACAATTACCTGATATATCAAAACCAGCATCCAGTGCAAGTAATATATTAAGCATACAGGGCTGATCCAATCTATACATCTTTGAAACTGTATCTCTCAACTGATCCAACAAACTTCTGTAAGGTTTTTACATGGGTGCACAATATTTATAGATATGAACATATTTGAGCTATGTAGTTATTTCCTTGAACACTAAAGTACGTTTTCATTTCATTGCGAAAACTAGGAATAATACTCTACAGGTTCTTTCATATCAAAAACAGTTTGTATAAATCTTATGTATACAAGTACTTGTATCATCTGATGTATGGAGTGCATTACATATAATTAAGTTTTACACCATAATTTTATATCATTTTTGTCGAAAGTTGTTATCTCTAAAGTAGAGGAACAATAAACATTTAATTTTTATGTTTATATAACTTAATCCTCAAACATGTTTTCAGACAGCGATCAATATTCATCAAATGCTATTCCAAAGTTGTTGAAATTGACATTTTCTTCTGCCTATTTGTCTTGAATTAACCGATAATTGGTGTGCTTAATCTTTCAGTGGATCTTGTTCATCTCAACAATTTAATCAGTGCATTTGACCACCATGGCTTGAGAGCACAGAATGACAAGTTAATCACTGTTCCTGAAATCCTTACATGTCTAGCCACTGTTTATGACAGTGTATCAAGTGAACACTCCTCATTAATGCAGAAGCCGCTCTGTATGGATCTCTGTCTTAACTGGTTACTCAGTCTTTATGACAAGTAAGTTGATCAGCCACTGGAAAACAATTTATATACATATCTTAAATAATGTTTGCTGAATCTCTAGACAGATCATTTGACAAATGCTAATGTTCATCTCCTTAAGTTCTGATGCCCCAGCATAGTTTATTTATTATTAGTAGATCTTTGTTCTTTTACTGTCATTACTTAGTCATTACCAAAATTGAGTTATGTCGCATTTCAGGTTGTTGTTAACAGGTTTTCATTCATTATTAAAATGAGTTTGTATGTCACAGTTTAATTTGTCCTTAAGTTTTTTCATTCTTTACTAAAACGAGTTGATATTTCACAGTTCAGTTTACAGTTAGTAGGTTTCTCATTCTTCACTAGAAGTTAGATGATATGTCACTGTTCATTTTGTTGTTAACAGGTTTTTCATTCTTTACTAAAACGAGTTGATATTTCACAGTTCAGTTTACAGTTAGTTAGGTTTCTCATTCTTCACTAGAAGTTAGATGATATGTCACTGTTCATTTTGTTGTTAACAGGTTTTTCGTTCTTTACTAAAACGAGTTGATATTTCACAGTTCAGTTTACAGTTATTAGGTTTCTCATTCTTCACTAGAAGTTAGATGATATGTCACATTTCAGTTTGTTGTTAACAGGTTTATCATTCTTTACTAGAAATCATTTATGGGTTTTGCACAAAATTGACTATCCAGAGCTCTTGTAGGGATGAATAAAGGAATCTATTAGGAAGTATAGAAGACTTGGGAGAAACCACAGATCTGAGAATTTTTTATAACTGTTTTTAGATGTTCTGTTCATTCTTAAAAATATTTTCATGTTAAATTTTGTCTGTTTCAAAGCTACAGAAATTTTCTTGTATGAAAACATTATATAGGTTTAGTGGGTATGATAGTTGATGACAAAATATTGAAATGACTCAGATTCTTATTTATTAAATATTATTGTTAAGTTTATTGTATTCAAACAATGCACACACATAAGACAACTTATTATTATTTATTAAATAACCAAAACTGTTAGTAAAAATCACGATGCCCAACATGACAAATTTTTTAAGTTTTTGTCATGTTTCTTACAGTTTATATAGCCAAAAGTGGGGACTACTGGAATTGGTGAAATAAAGTATAGACATAGTTTGTTTGTTTTTTTGTGAAATATTAAACATCTTGAAACTGACTGGTTATATAAAATGGAATTTTTTGACCAACAACAACAAATATTGAAATTCTGAAACAAGAATAAAATTTTTTTAATGTTTTTGATTTTTAAACAATATCTCTCAACAAAATTTTGGTAATTTGAAACCTCAAAAGTGATAAAAATGCCACATATCAGTGTATTTTTAAGATTTGTTTTAACAATATTTAGTTTACGTCCCATAACTCTGATTATGATCGTGTGACATTGATTTTTCTTGTGCCCTTTTTTTTTTCTCACATTTCTCTAATAGCAATTTGTTTTTAATCTAAAAAGCTGTTCTTATTACATGTCCAGTGTTGTTTGTCTAGTGTGAAACATTGTCATATGTCTTGTTTACCCCCACCCTTTCCCAGTAAGTTTGAAGGCTTATGAAACTAAAATGCAGAGTTCAATCTCTGCAGTGGGCCCAGCATAGAGCACCTATTGTGATGTTCGGATTAATTGAAAAATATGTGAAATGTATCTGAAGTCAAAATGGTGTAATGTGAGCAGGTATTCGTTTTTGTCTTTTCTTTAAGAACTGATGAGATTTATCAAAGATCAACAGATCTTTATTGTATATCATGTTTTTATTATAGAATTCCCACTTAATTATAGAATTTTACTTTTTAATAAAACAAAACTTTAGTTTAATTTTTGTGGATCTTGAAATCTTTAACTAGCACCTCCAGAGTAGGACATCTTCGTATCTTGTCTTTCAAAGTGGGTATTGTCCTTCTGTGTAGAGGCACTCTGGAAAATAAATTCAGATGTAAGTATTACTTTCAATAAAATGTTAGATATTTTGATCTGATTTGAAATAATTGCATTATATTATTTTATTACATCCCATGGAACTTAATTACTTTCATAAAGATAATAAGAGTTGTGTAATTTTCCCAGAATATGCTTATTATTATTATTATAATATTCAGAGTCTTAAAGCCAATAGTTTGCCATAATTGTGAAAGGTTTAGTTTTTCAATCTACAGTCTGAAATAATATGTTTGTGTGTATAGATTTTCATAAAATATAGCAACCTACACTAGCAAAATTAAATATTTCAAGTAAGGAACCTAAAATATTAAATAGAAAGGTAGATGATTGTTAAAGACCAGTAGAGAGTTATGTTAAGGAGCTAAATCATACAACATTAATTGTAAACACTTCAAAAAATCACAAAAAAAATTCCTAAGGAATATGATTTTCATCAATAATTTTTTTTAATTAATTGATAAAAGTTATAGTCATGAATGATAAGTAATCATAAAAGAAAATTTATTTACTCATTTGTTAAACCAAAAATTGAGAAATTATTTAATACACATTTTAAATTTAAATAACTTAATATTAGGGGTTGACCAATCATCAAATTTTAAATGATTTAAAATAGCTGGAGATAAATTATAAAAATACTTAGAAGTCAAAACTGAATTAATTCTTGGACAGTAATAGATATTTCTATGATGAAAGCATGAATGTTTTTATTTTAAATTGGGATTATATCTAAATAGATCATATTGAATGTCAAAGAGGTAGAGAAATTTCATAAAATGTCCACAACATTACAGAAATAGCATGTGTTATAATGGTTGTATGTCTCTACTGTTTTTGAACTAAATGGATTTGAATCTTAATAAAGTAATTAACTGTACATAAACACTCCTTAGAAATACAACTGTATCATAAACATATTACATCATCTTGTTCCATCATCTATCAGTGTTTAAATAAAACAGCCTTTGATTTCATTACGAATATTTTGAGATGTTAATAACTACTGTATTTTTTGCAAAAGAAAAAATTGCATTTAGACATTTTCCTGGTGTATATTAAAACTTTTCATTAAATTATTCCTAAAATATATTTGTACTGTCTTCATGAAAAAATAAGCAGTTTTTGTTTGTGTATATTTAAATTTTATGTTCACTGATTTAAAAAAATAATAAAATTAATCAGTTAATATGTTGTTAATGGTATATCTACTTCTTGGTTCCAGTATTAAAACTTTTACTTGTATATTTCTAAAAATATTTATGTTCTTTTTTGAATTTCTAAAAACCTCTTCTGTTCCTAAAATAGTATACTGCTGTTGTACTTATGAAATTTGTTTGGTACGTTTTAGAAGGTTTTAAGTACTTTTCCTGTTCGGTGATTGTTTTCATATTTTGCTACTTTATCACCATAGATCTCTTTCGTTTAATTGCTGATGTCAAAGGATCTGTGGATGAGAGAAAACTTGGTCTTCTACTCTATGACTGTATGCAGGTATTTAATCAGTTTCATTTTTATAGTTCTCAGGATACATATACTTGTTAAGTTCATGAAGGTTGATTTTTAAAATTAAGTTGATGTTGATATGTCCCCCAGTGTAACAGCAGTACGTTTCTGGTCTTACAATGCTAAAATCTGGGATTTGATTCCCCATGGTGGACACAGTGGGTTGCCTAATGTGTCTATGCTCTAAAACAGCTTATGGTTGTTTTTTATATTATCTTAGAATTCAACATTTGAAACTTGTTTTCATAATCATATAAATATGATAACCACAGAACCTATTTAAATTTCAATGAACTCTCTCCTTAAAATGCTAATGAAAAAATATTATGTGTGTATTTGTTATATAAAAGGTAAATACTGTATGTGGATTTGGTGTGTAACATGTAAATACTGTATGTGGAATTGGTGTGTAACATGTAAATACTGTATGTGGAATTGGTGTGTAACATGTAAATACTGTATGTGGAATTGGTGTGTAACATGTAAATACTGTATGTGGAATTGGTGTGTAACGTAAATACTGTATGTGGAATTGGTGTGTAACATGTAAATACTATATGTGGAATTGGTGTGTAACATGTAAATACTATATGTGGAATTGGTGTGTAACATGTAAATACCGTATGTGGAATTGGTGTGTAACATGTAAATACCGTATGTGGAATTGGTGTGTAACATGTAAATACTCTATGTGGATTTGGTGTGTAACATGTAAATACTGTATGTGGATTTGGTATGTAACATGTAAATACCGTATGTGGAATTGGTGTGTAACATGTAAATACTGTATGTGGAATTGGTGTGTAACATGTAAATACCGTATGTGGAATTGGTGTGTAACATGTTACCTTTATTTTTTGTTTGTAGATTCCAAGGATGTTAGGTGAAATAGCAGCATTTGGAGGAAGTAATATTGAACCAAGTGTCAGAAGCTGCTTTGAAAAAGTAAATTTTTATTAAATAGAATTTGTTTTCTTGCTTTTCATTGGTCTGAAGGTAACTGAAATTGTGAATCATCGGTATCTTAATATAGAAGACTAGAACAAATAATAAGACTTTACCATTCTCTCATCCATTGTGAGTCCTAGGAAGCATGTGAATGTTGTAGTAACTAATAGTTTGATCATTTTTATAAGTTTTACACAGAATTTTTTTATGTTTTAAGTTACATAAAATGTTGTATGGTTCTATAAAATCAGTAATTTGATGCGTATGCAACCTTGAAAATACAAAACAGATGATTTATATAGACTTAAAAATTTAGGCAATTAAGTAGGTTTAAAATTGATTTTTAAAATAAAAGGTAGAACCATCTTACTTAAGTCTAGATGATACACACAGGAGTTGAAACAAGGGCTAGAATGCAGCTTTTTGAACCTTCATGAATATTTTGGCCAATTAATCTGTGTAATTGTTTTGTATATACTCTTCATTCTGTTATTCTTATGTGATCTAGTCAAAATTTGTCCCAAACCAGATGAAATCGTCAAAGCAAGTGCTTAACAAAGGTTAGAATTGAAAAAAAAATGTTGTTAGTATAGTTTTAAAAAACATTACTTAACTTGGTAGTGAACTTGTTTAACTACATTGATAGTAAAAAAAAAAAATTGAAATACTTCATTGGACTGGAAATGTGGGAAAAGAAAGTTAGCTCATAAAACAGAGAAATATTCTACTAAATAAAATAGAAATAGAATAGCTATGGAAGTAGAACATGTATAACATAGTTAAATGGTTAGAAATCCAAACACCACATTTTTAAATATACGAAAAAGTGAAATAAAGAAAACAAAAAAGTCCTTATTAATAATATTTATATGGCTAGTACAATTAAATAGAGAGAAAACTTTAGATTAAATCAAGGTTTTGAACTTTGTGTTTTCACAGGGTAGCAAGAAGAAAGAAATTCAGGTAATTCATTTCTTGGCATGGCTTCAGCAGGAGCCTCAGTCCTTAGTATGGCTACCTGTTCTCCACAGACTTGCTGCAGCTGAGACAGCTAAGCACCAAGCTAAATGTAACATTTGTAAACTGTATCCCATTGTTGGCTTCAGGTGAAAGCTTTTTTTTTTTATCATTTTATGCTAACTTGATATTTTTTATTTTAATGTTATCAGTGATTAATAACTGGATGTAACTATTTTTATTACCTAGGTTTAGATGAGTGAAATACTTGGTGTTTTAGCAAAATACAAGAAATATTTACTTCACAAATACAATTACTTTTATGATTGATGAAGTCAGAGTCCAAAATAAAATATGAGAGATTCCTAATTAGTCTAACGTCTACTCGGGAAGTCATTTAAACATATTGTGCCTGATAGTCCTGTTGCATGGCTCAACTAATATTATTATTTCTTACTTGTAGATCTTACTGTCTTAGAGTATAGGTGGCGCACTGCTAACATACTGTTCCTCGTGATTTTATATCGGGAATCTCTTTTGAACAAGAGTTTGCGGTGTTTTTTTTTTACCATTTTTGTTATTGATAACAATTGGTCATTTTTTGAATCTGTACAGTATATAGAGAATGATTATACTGTAAAATAAAAATATTTAAAAATAAAAAAACAGATAATGCCCAACCAAAATCGGATCTTAAGAGTCAACATTTTAATCAAACAAGTTGTACAGGAAGTATTAAAAATAAATGGTACTTTTCTGAGTGGAAATAATTGAAATTACTTTTTTTGTTAAAACTGATGATGGAAGAGCGGATTCTTTGTATGATTAATTATCAACCAGTATAATAACTTATTTGTAATATATTCCTCAAACTTTAAAGTTTCTAAAAATTAAATGATGTTCTCTTTTTTGGCAACCCGTGAAAAAAAAGCATTTTTACTGAAACTATTTGTTGTAATCAAGCCACTCTGATGAGCTCTATTATTAAATAAAAGGCCTCTTCAACAATATATAGTTGAAATGCTGTTATACACATTTCTTTTTAAACCATTTATTAAACCAATAAAGACTGACAGGTTTAAAATTATTAACTCTGAGAAGATAGTTAACTTTGTTGTTTTGTTTTTATTTTTTTACAGATCTTAAAAAAACATTACCAGTAGAAAGTTGAATAACTCTGACTTCTTTTTACTAAACCATAAGTTAAATCTTAAGGTTGAAAAAATTTAAGCTATTTTAGTTAAGAGTAGAAAATATGAATAATTAATGAACTTATGAAGTCAGGCTTGGATCAGGAGAATTTGAATAGTTTTATTTTTGTTGTTGTTGTTGACCCAAAATATTCAAAGATAGTTGAACATTTTTAATCCCTCTAAACATCAGAATGCTTCTCATCAAATATTGTAATCTTCTTTGTAGCCTCATAGGTTTTAATAAAATCTTGAAGATTATTAAAGAAGCTAATTAACTGGATTTTTCTAAAGGAAAGAAGAAAGTTTAATAATGGTTGTAAGGATCTCAGGTTATTGTTAGTTTTGAATTCTTTGGTTCTTATCCCCCAGTGGGTCAGCTGTAAGTTTACGGACTTAACACTAAAATCTGAGGTTCACTTTCCCACTGTGGACAGAGTATAGATAGCCCATTGTGAAGCTTTCCACTAAGAAAACAACCACCACCTTTGGTTCTTGTTAAGAACAGTTTTTATTACTGAGATTTTCAATTCTATAATCTTACCAAATGTTGCATATAGTAATAGCATTAAAATATAGAATCCTGAGGATATATAGCTTTATTTTTTTGTTGCTTTAGGTATCGATGCTTGAAATGTTTCAACTTTGATATCTGTCAGAGTTGTTTCTTCTCAGCAAGAAAATCAAAGGCTCACAAGTTAACCCATCCAGTTCAAGAATATTGTACAACGGTAAACAGTTGATAAATAATTGGAATATGGTGTTTTTTAACAAAAATTTAAAGGTTACCAACTTTTTTATTCATGGACCTTACTTTCACCTCTAAATGTGTCACATATATAGAATACAGCAAGAATAATTTGTGTATTAGTTTATGAAGTAAGAAATGTATAGAAGAAATACTTAGTGATAGATTAGTTTTTGTCAATAAACATGATGTAGAAATGATATTTGGTTATTGGTTTTGAGGTCAGTCATGACATAGAATCAATATCTTGTTATTAGTTTTGAAATCAGGTATAGTATATGGGAAATATTTTGTTATTGACTTCTGAAGTCAAACATAGCATAAAGAGATGTCTGGTTGTTTTTTGAAATCAGGTGTGTTATAGAAAAGATGTCTAGTTATGTATTAGTTGATAATATGTAGAAAATAAATCCAATTATTTAGTAGTTGGTAAAGTCAGATATTGACTTTGAAGATGGCTTGAATGGGTAATGAAGAAAGCTTTTTTTACAAGTTTAACATAGTAACAAATGCACAACGTTTCAACAAGGTTTTGTAATAGTTTCGTTCATTACCCATTCAAGACATGTTCAAACTTTATTGTCTCAAAATGGATTCTTTGTCGTTAAAGTCAGGCATATTATATAAATGATATCTTAATTATTCGTCAGTTCTTTAAATGAGATTTGGCATGGGGAAACAGAAGATTACTCTTAAGGGTTTTCAAGTTGAGATAATCATGACAGTCTGTGAATTTATTTAAATCACTGTATAGACAACCTCAGGAGAAGATGTGCGAGACTTTACAAGAGTTGTACGCAATAAACTAAAGTCCAAGCATTACTTCAAGAAGCACCCTAGATTGGGATACTTACCAGTTCAGACAGTCTTGGAAGGAGACGACTTGGAAAGTCCTGCTCCATCTCCTCAGCACACATTATCGTCACAAGAAATGCATTCCCGGCTGGAACTGTATGCCAGCAGGCAAGTGATATCATTAATAACTCACAGTAATTTAACTTAACTTTGTTGCCAATAAGATGTATATATATAGATACAGTATTTTCCAGTTATAAATGTGAATTCAGAATATGGGAGATGAGGATTTGATATGGAATTAGGGTTGTGTGGAAGTTAAAACTTTTTAATACTTACTTTTAAATAATTTAAAAATGATGCTTGTGTAAAAGATCTATTTACAATTAAAAGGAATACAACATTAAAATGTTACACAATATTTTAATGTTGTATTGCTTTTAATTGTAAATATACTTAACCTTTATGATTACTTATCTATTGCAGATTAGCTGAAGTTGAACTTAGGGGTAGAAACAATTCAACTCCTGATTCGTAAGTTGAAATTTCTGTATTTTTCCTAAAGTTATTTATCTGCTACTTAGTTATAATGTTTAGATTTGTTTACATATGACACTTTTTGGAGTACACGTTAAGTAATTGAGCACTGCTCTCTATCTGCCATTTAGTTATAATGTTTAGATTTGTTTACATATGACACTTTTTGGAGTACACATTAAGTAATTGAGCACTGCTATCTATCTGCTACTTAGTTATAATGTTTAGATTTGTTTACATATGACACTTTTTTGGAGTACATGTTAAGTAATTGAGCACTGCGTAAACAGTAATTGTGCTTTCCGTTGTTTTAAATGTACGTGTTGAAAAGGTAATTGCTTATAGAACGAGAAATTGATTCAGACTTTGATGTGTAATGTATTACAGAAGTGAAGATGAGCACCAGCTGATTGTCCAGTATTGTCAAACACTAAGTGGAGAGAACTCTTTACCTTTGGTAAGCAATTTTCATTCGTCATTATTGGAAACTTCTCAAAAGTTTTAACTTGTTTCAATTATCAGCAGTAAAAGCTATAAATGTTTAAGACATTGGTGTTTGTTTGACTCATTATGAATCTTTCCACCAATCATGGAACTAAAAATCTTTGATCTTTATAAATTTGGTTCTTGGTGGCAAAGTTCTTTCTTATTTTGAAATTTTACTCCGTTCTTGAGCCTTAATTTACTTAGATCTATTAAGTTTAATAGATGCTCACTTATAATCAGCATAGAAGTTAGTTTACTTAAAATATTATTACTAAGTGAGAGATTTTTCTCCACATCACTTTGCTAGTGATAGCTTTAAGTTTATAATTCTCAACTTTTATTTTGAAGCCTTGTAGTCCAGCCCAGATAATGGCAGTCATTGATTCTGATCAAAAAGAAGAACTAGAAGCCATGATTCAAGAACTCGAGGAGGAAAATAAGTATGTATGATGTTTAAATATTTCCAGGTTACGGCACCTGTAACATACAGATAAAAATGTTGTAATATGATAGTAATTTAAAGATTATATCATTACTGCAAACTTGTGGAGATGTGAATAGTTTCTTTGTATTAATTAGCATACCAATTACCTTCTGTAAGGCACCTGTAACATACGGATAAAAATGTTGTAATATGATAGTAATTTAAAGATTATATCATTACTGCAAACTTGTGGAGATGTGAATAGTTTCTTTGTATTAATTAGCATACCAATTACCTTCTGTAAGGCACCTGTAACATACAGATAAAAATATTGTAATATGATAGTAATTTAAAGATTATATCATTACTGCAAACTTGTGGAGATGTGAATAGTTTCTTTGTATTAATTAGCATACCAATTACCTTTTGTAATTTGACCTTAACTCTTATTTTCTCACCCTAAATCTGTTTTCTTTTTTCAACTCATTAAAAAATTATCTTGCTGTATTATTTGAATTTGAACAGTATAAACATTATTTGATTGTGTTACGATGTTGTCTGTTACTTCATTGACTGTCTTTCTGTGAAATATGTTCCTTTAATATAATTTCAGGGTCTTAGTATTTGTTCTGAAACTAAGTCAGTATTCTCATGAAAACTTAGAAAACAACATCTTGGATATGTTTTTTAAGATATCATTTCAGCTTTCAAACTGACATCACAGTTTGTCATTGTATCCTTACACCAAATTAAAAACTACTGGTTAAAACTTGAAGTTTTAATATTTTCAGGCATCTTCAGGCTGAATATGATCTGCTGAGGGAATCAAGAACAGGGCTCTCACTCCCTGCTACAGCTACTGAGGACCAGAATGGTCAAGCTCTGAGTAGAGATGATGAATTGATAGCTGAGGCCAAGTTGTTACGACAGCATGAAGGAAGGCTTGAAGCAAGGATGCAAATCTTGGAGGACCACAATCGACAATTAGAAGCTCAACTTCAAAGACTTAGACAGCTGTTAGATGAAGTGAGAACATTGAACCATTTGTCAGATATTAAGAACTTGAGGCTTTTTTTAGCTGTTATTGTAATAACTCTATATAAGTAAATATTAATACATTTTTTAAGCTCCTAATAATCTGTTTATAGGATAGATATTATCGTTTTACTGCTTGTAATATAATTTTTACATTAACTGCTACAGAAAATGGGCTTATTGATCATCAGCTGCTTATCTAAAAAAAAGCCAACTCCGATAAAAATTGGTTCTTTCATTGAAAAGCTACATTGTGCAAAAGTTTTATTCAATAAGTTTAAAATAACAGGTTTAAAAATAATTTTTTGGTGTGTTTGGAGGAATATATGCAGCTAGGGCAAAGCAAATGGTGATGAGAGATATTAAATTGAATTTAAATAATGGCCTACTAATTAGTATGTTAGTGAATCTGAGGGTCTATGGTTTGCATCCCATCACTGAAACATTCTCACTTAACCCTTTGCAGACAGATCATAGGTGAAAGGCCATGTCATCGCATTTCTTAACTCACATTCAAAATTTTATCGAACTACTATCTCATGAACTTATGTCCATAAGTTTGGTATCAAACTGTAGATTATAATTCAAATTTTAGTATTATACCTTACTGAAGTTCTTAATTTAAAAGTAAATATTAAAAACAGTTAAACATTGATTTTTGTGTGTTACGTGGTATGTTGAATGCAGCACTGGTTCAAATTAGATGTTTGTGATGTCAGAATACTAAATCTTTAGTTTCATATGAAATAGGAACTCTAATTACTGATATTGACAAGCTAGAATGTAAAATATAAGTCTCTCATCTTTTCAATTTTCTATGATATTGCTCGTGTAATAAATCAAACACAGTGGAACCCGCCCACCTCTTTCTGTTTTTGGAAACACTCCCTTATATACACTTATTTCTATATATGACATGAATAACCAATCGAAAGCTCAGAATGTCCCCCTAGTAGCTTTCTCAGCCATTTTAACATCTTTGGATGCCATCTCTTTCTTTCAAACCAAAATTACAAGGAGGTAGGTTGTGTCTTTAGTCTGCTCAAAATTTCATATTTTTTTTAGGCTGAAATATGGCTTAGTTACTAAGTTTGATAAATTATAGTGAAATTTTATGGTATCAATATAGTAATTTATGAGTTTTTGGTTATTCAATTGTATATATAAAACCTAAGAAAATTATTTTGTTTCATATCCTCCATGTGCAAAATTTTAAAAGGCTTAGCAACCTACGTCAAGCAGCATCTGAGTACAAAGGTCATAAC